CAAATAGCGCACAATTGCATAAGCAACTTAGTGCTCGCAAAATAAAAAAAGATGAAAATGTGTTTGAATATTTTTATCAAATGAAAGATATCGCATCTCGCGGCAATATCGAAGACGAAGCGCTGATTCAGTATATAATAGATGGAATTAGAGACGGTTATGTAAATAAAATGATACTATATGGTGCAAAGAACCTTAATGAATTTAAAGACAAATTAAGATCATATGAAACAATGTGTGAAAAAAGTAAGCAAGTTAACGATTTTAAACAAAGCGAAAAGAAAAGTTTCTCAACAAATAAAACAGAAGTGAAATGCTACAATTGTGGTGAAAAGGGACATTTGTCCATGAATTGCAAAAATAAAAATCGAGGTACTAAATGCTTTAAGTGCAACCAGTACGGACATATTTCTAAAAACTGTGAACAAGCCGAAAACAAAATAAATACGCGCAGTTTACAGCAAAAAAACAATTTAACTACCAAATCCATTTTTATTGGCAATTTACAGTGCGCAGCCCTATTCGATACAGGCAGTAAATTTAATATAATTCGCGAAGACTTATACAACAAGTTGAATAAGCCTATCTTAGAAAAATGTAACGTATGTTTAATTGGTTTCGGTAGTGATCGCAATTCAAATAGGATTAAACCGATTGGACATTTTAAAAACTTAATTAAAATTGACGATAATGAGTTCATATTAGATTTTTATGTCGTTCCAATTCGGTGCATGGACTTACAAGTGATCATTGGCGAAGAACTATGCTTATACGCTGAAATTTTATTTAATCGTGATGGTATAAACGTTCGTAAAATCCTCGACGAAGACGATCCCATAGACGAAGAAGCTAAAATAATGAAAATTGACTTAGTAAATGACAACAAAACGATTGATATCGACAAAACCGCTAGTGAGAATGCGAGACGACAGGTACGTGAAATGATCATAAATTATCAGCCGAATCAATGTAAAACAACACAAGTGGCGATGTACATAGTGCTCAAAGACGAAACACCCATTTATTCTAGGCCGCGTAGATTACCGTTCACGGAGAGGTGCATTGTGGATGAGCAAGTGGAACAGTGGTTGAAAAATGGTGTAATTGAACGATCGGAGTCAGAATTCAGTAGCCCAGTTGTATTGATAAAAAAACGCGACGGTACACCACGCTTGTGTATTGACTTTAGAAGAATTAATAAAGTATTGGTGAAAGACCGTTTTCCGTTGCCACTAATAGAAGACCAACTCGATCGGCTACAAAGTGGTAAGGTGTTCAGTACAATTGACTTAAAGAATGGATTTTTCCATGTGCCCGTGGCAGAATTGTGTCGTAAATACACGTCATTTGTTACACATAATGGACAATATCAATTCTGTAGAGTGCCATTTGGATTGTCGAACTCACCAGGTGTTTTTCAAAGACATATAAACGCGATATTTCGTGAATTAACTAATGAAGGTATAGCTTTACCATACGTTGATGATATCATTATACCCGCAGCAAATGAAGAACAAGCCGTACAAAACCTAAAAGTTGTATTACAGCGGTGTGCAGACTTTGGACTTGAATTGAATTTTAAAAAATGCAAGTTTCTAATGAGAAAAGTGGAATTTCTAGGGCACACAATACAAGATCAAAAAATATCACCGTCAGAAGTTAAGGTTGAAGCTCTACGCAAATACAAATTGCCGCAAACATTAAAACAATTGGAAAGTTTTCTTGGGTTGGCGAGTTATTTTAGAAAATTCATACCTAAATTCTCGCTAATTGCCAAGCCTTTAACAGATTTAAGGAAACACAATGTGAAATTTGAAATAAAAGATGAACAGATTACTGCATTTAATACGTTGAAGACCATCTTAAGCGAAAAACCGGTACTAAACATTTTTAATCAAAAATCTGAAACGGAAGTGCATACAGATGCTTCGATAGAAGGATATGGAGCCGTTTTATTGCAAAAATCACCAGACGACGAACAATGGCATCCTGTGTATTATATGAGTAAAAAAACCACTGACGCACAAAGAAAATATACAAGTTACGAACTAGAAATATTGGCTGTTATTGAAGCTTTCAAAAAGTTTAGAGTATACATTTCTGGGTATGCATTTTAAGCTCGTTACTGATTGTAACGCATTTGCGATGACATTGGGAAAGAAAGACTTGTGCACGAGAGTAGCCCGTTGGATATTGTTCTTAGAGGAGTACGATTACGAAGTTCAGCATCGTGTTGGTTCGCGAATGAAGCATGTTGATGCTTTAAGCCGCTACGCCGTTATGTGCATAGATGAAGATAATATTCTTTCTAAAATACGGAGAGCACAGATGCAAGACGAAAACCTGAAAACGATATCGGATATTCTACAAGAAAAATCTTCATACAACGATTATTTTAAGAAAGGAGAGTTGTTGTATAAGCTGAGAAATGACCAAGAACTTATTGTTGTACCTAAGAGTATGCAGCGTGAAATAATTAGACATGCACATGAAAAGGGACATTTTGCCGTAAAAAAAACAAGTGAACTACTCCGAAATGACTATTTTATACCTCAATTGGAAGAAAAAATACAAAAACACATTATGAATTGTATTCCATGTATCGTTGTGAATCGGAAGCAGGGTAAGCAAGAAGGCGAACTACACTCATTGATTAAAGAAAGTATACCATTACACACGTACCATGTTGATTTTTTGGGACCATTAGAATCAACGAACAAACAATATAAGCATATCTTTGTCGTTATTGACTCTTTTACTAAATTCTGTTGGATATATCCAACTCGAACCACATCAGCTAACGAGGCTATATCCCGATTGCGTACGCAAAGCATAGTTTTTGGTAATCCTAATCAAATAATATCAGACCGAGGTGCTGCTTTCTCTTCAGATGATTTTCGTAAGTATTGCGAGGGTGAAAGTATTAAACACATCAAAATTACTACGGGCTTAGCCAGGGCCAACGGACAAGTCGAAAGATTGAATAGCATAATTGCACCAGTTTTGGCAAAATTAAGCATGGCAGATCCAACTAAATGGTATAAAAATGTTGACAAAGTGCAGCAGATAATAAACTCCACGTATTGCAGAAGTACTGGAACGACGCCTTTTGAATTATTAATTGGTGCTAAAATGCAAACAAAGGAAGATATTCAGATCAAAAAAATTATCGAAGAGGAAATTACAACGATTTTTAATGAAGACCGAGAAGAAATGAGGCAACGCGCAAAGCAACAAATACTGAAAATCCAGTTAGAAAATAAGAATGCATATAACCAAAGACGCAGGCCAGCCGTAAAGTACAAAGTAGGCGACGTAGTCGCAATCAAAAGGACGCAGTTCTCGGGAGGACTGAAGCTAAAACCAAAATACTTAGGACCTTACGAGGTCGAGAGAGTTAAATCAAACGATACGTATGATGTTATAAAAATCGGAAAAAGCGAAGGGTCAAAGCGGACTAGCAGTTGCGCAGAGTATATGAAGCCTTGGGCAGTTGCTGACAATGACACTTCATTCGGGTCGAACGAATCGCAGGATGGCCGATTGTGGGACGCAGATCTGGCAACGCCAGCACACGAGCATAAGGAAGTAAAAAAGAAGAAACAAACGTAGTGTGGCAGTGCAGAAAGAAGACGTGTGAAGTAATGACGTGTGTGCGGAAGAACAAACAGTTTTTTTCATTTATATATATTTTTTTTGTAATTTAATTAATTAGTTTTGATTCTAATAAAAAGGAATCCTACATAAATATAAATTATTCCCTGACACGAAGGCGGTTTTTGCTTACATACATTGAGGCGGTTTTGAGCCCATATACGTGAACGCTATTATATATATATGCAATCATAACAACAATATATTTTTTGTTTGCATCCTTTTCCCCGCAAACAGGTAGAGTACACACAGCAAGGGACAAAGCCTACACATCAATATTTTTCACAAAGCAGATACGGAGAAGTACAAGACAAAGAGCATCGATTTCAAAGGACTTCACGAGGCATCATCAGCCTGATCACCAAGAAATTTCACAGCCACAACGAAGCAAATTAAATTTTATTTTCTTTCAGAAAATTGTTTATAACTCATACATTATTTTTTTTTTATATTTGAATTATTTTAATTAACTCTTCTTGTTTAAAATTAAATTAACATCTTTCATTTGAGAAGTCCTGTCCCTGCAAATATGAATTTATTGTAACGCTTCCTGGAAGAGGCTGAGGTTACCCCCAGCGAAAGCATTTTAACGAAGCGAAAAATCCGTGTCGTTACAAATTTTTGGATATTAACGTTTTGAAGAAACGTCATTTGCGAACTCTTTATAGAGACAGTGCATCCATACAGCCTGTAAATGTCCTTAAGAAATATGCTTACATTTCCAACATACTAAAAATTCAGGCATGAATTTGCGTAATTTGAGTGAAAAATAAGTATGTATTTGACACATGATTTTTTTTTTTTAAAGAATTGAAACTTTCCAAAACGTGTATTCTACTCTCATAGCTTACCTTTAATACATGTGCTCAGAAAATTATAGGTAAAGTTGGGGTCACCGAAACAAGTATAAAGACCAAATTGATCGTCGCATTGACTTATGAAACAAATATAACAAATAGATTCTATATTTTACTTTTAGAAAGAGCACTTGCAAAATTTGACATTGACAACTCCCTTCAGTTTGCATTGAAAACAACAACAACTGTCGTGGCGTGACTGCGATCCTAACATGCCGTGGATGGGCTCTGTTTAATTGTCAATTTAACACAAGCTTTTCAAAGAAAACAAAAATTTAGAAGCGAAATAGTTCTAAGGGACTTTGCTGTACTGCTTTATTTTATTAAAGAACTCGTAGAGTATTAAGATAATATTATTGTGATTCATTTCAAATATTAAATTTGAAATCTTCGAAGTATCCCTAACAAATACAGCATACTTTTGAAAAAAAAAAAGATAAAACTATACCAGGGATGCATTTTAAAACAAAAAGAAATAACTGAGCTGTATTATTATTTAAATATTCAGCAAAAAGTATTTTCATGTATTTAGATGTTATGTATTGTCTAAATAGATAATTTTTTGTGCATTTCAGACATTATTTGAAATTCATACTATTTAATCCGTATTCATTCAGCAATGTATTAGTGCCACTCGCTGCTTGTTGCTGATGCATGTTAAGTAGCACACGATGTCGGAAGTGCATCGTTTTAAGCCGATGCATTCGTTGCTTCAGATTGCAATAGACAGGGCAGCAATCAGGAAAAGGCTTATACATTAGCTCCTCTTCGTCACCTTGTTCACACTGATCAGGCAAAATATCCAAACAGCTGAAGCACACATAAAAATAAAATGGAACCGAACATTAATATCGCTTAAAATAAACATATTTATAAATTTTATAAATATTTTAAAATGATATTAACTACACAAAAAAATAACTACTCATTCGGTCTAGACATCTTTTCCACTACAAAAATAGACCTGGATCGTGGTACTAGTTGATTGTTTTCGCAAAATAAGTTAGAACAAAGACTCAGTAGTACTAGGCGCCTTGGTAAAAATTTCGATTGCTCCCACATGCAACGACGGTAGGTCCCTAGAAATTTCAAAGTGTAAATGCGAAATCATTGAACGGGTTGCTTTTGAATGGATATGAATTTATAGAACTTACGTAATACAGTGTTATCATTCTCACTGGAATCCACTTTGCTGTTGTATTTAATATGAAATTGACCGAAGGCTGCACAGGTGCCAATAAATAAAAATATCACCAAGTTTTTCTGACTCATATCTATCTTCTTTGATCTTTAAGGCTGGATTTTTTCAAATTTGAGTTTCAAATTTTCAGTGGGTGCTTTTAAGCGATTTTATTCTTTCCATGTACAAAAGTCGTAACAAACTAAATTCATAGAAAAAAGCAAATTGAATAAAATCATCTGCATAAAAAATTACGGCTGGCAAAAAATATTAGTAACAAACTATATAAACGCTATATGTTGATATAGCTTAGTTCTCTAGAAATGGGCTCCAAAAACCTCAAATTTTTAAATTGATTTCACCACCACCAACAACTGGTATATAACATTTTTACATTGAATATACAAACGTATGTAGATGAATTTTTCTTTTTAAGTTCTTTCAGATCTTAACGAGAAGAATTCTTCTCTGTTGTTCTATGAGTTGTAGAGTTCTGGAAAATGAGGTGATCAGCCCCGTATTAATTTAAAAGGCATCTTCAAACCAGAATTTCTTTAACATAAAATTGGTGTCTAGTTAAGGTCTATACAAATTGAGGTTACGAGTAATTTAGGTAACTAATAATCTGGTTTGGGTTAAGTGTGATTTTGAGAATTTCCAGTTAAGTAGTTATTTTCCGCGCTGTTTTGTTTGAGAACGACTGTAGTTAGCACTTAGCTTCCAATTCGTTAAATAGTGCTTGTGATTCTTGAGAAACTAAATATGGTTGAATTTTCTATTTTTCGGTTTATATTGTAAATAGAGACTTAATAATATACGTAGATTAGATTAATATGAGGATTATAACTATTAAATTACAGCTTTTACACAAGCAGGGATCTCAGTTTATGCTGACTACAATGTAATATAGGTTATGACTAATGCTTATTGTTGAGTATAATATTTTAAATAATGTTTGCTGTATTCACATGTTAAGCATTTACACTTTTATTTATCACTCAGAACTGCGATGTCATTTGTTTCGAATATTTTATTATTGCCGTACTTGACTAAATTAAATTTAAGTTTATGATTACTTTTAAGTTTGCTCATATAATCCCATCAAAACATTTTTATTATAATGTTGAGATATTTTCAGCTAATTTTCCAATTTTTAAGCTGAATTTATTAAGATTTATCAACAGATTTATTGCTCGAAATAAAATAATTTTATAATACATTGTGTTACATTGTTTTATTGCTTGTTAAGGTTGAGGAATTAGGAATGTTTAGGAATTATTCAAAATACTCATATTTTTTAAACATATTCACAGCGTTTGCCACGTAATAAAGGCAAACTATATAGGTACTATATAGGTTTTTAAATTAAATTTTTTTATAATTTTTTTATATTATTATGATTCACAAATCAAGCAAGGAACCCACGTTTGCCACTTCATACACGCCAATAAGCCTCCTGCCTTGCTTTTCTAAACTCTTTAAAAGAGCATTGCTTTTAAAGCTGAAACCGTTGCTTGACGTTTTAAACTTAATACCGTCTCACCAGTTTGGTTTTAGGAACTCAACTGAAAACACCACATAAAAGAAAGCCACAATGGCCCTTAGCAGGTAAGAGTTTAGGTTGTACGCCAAAATTACTGCAGTGGCTCTATTCGGCGATCATTAGACCTATCATCTTATAGGGGGCACTTGTATGCGTAAATGGAACCAGACAACAGAATAACATTTACGTACTAAGCAGGCTACAACGACTACCGTGCGTATGTATGAAGAAAGGAAACCTAACGGATAATTGCCAGAGGTTCGAAAATCTTGCCAAATAGTGTCCATGGTTTTAATGCCATGGGACACGATGAATCCAAAGTTCACACATAGCTTTACTTAACTCATTAAAAATAAACAACAATGGAAGCTAGTAGGGCCTAAATCAAACCTTTCAGCAAATTAAGAAGATAATCGTATAGTTCACTAACGGTTCGCTTATCTTCCAAGCGGAAATTTATGCAGTATTTAAGTATGTAATTTTCAATATTAATCGGAATGACACGAGAAAAAATATCGCAATACTAACAGATTGCCAAGTGGCATCAAACTTATATCAGGTGACTTTTAGACTAATGCAAGAACGCCTTGATAAGATAAATCTGCTAAGCGAATCAAATCAGTTGTGGATTCTCTGGTTACCGGGACATTCTGGAATACGCGGAAACGAATACGCAGTCAAACTAACCAGCAAAGAAGCATTGATGATAAAAAGTTGTTGCACCTACAAAACCAAATATACATCCAATTATTTGGTCAGGATAATACTTTGCCCAAAAACTTTGTTCTTAAACTACATATTTTTACTCACTTATGTTATGATAATTTTTAAATCGTATTTAGCAATAAAAGTAATTCTTAAAACATAAATGTAGGCATAATTTCATTACAGATAAAATTATATTATTTGCATTCACAATGTACACGCATACATATACTGCTTACAAATTTGCATATCTTGACTCAATGCACAAAAGCAAAGATCCTCCCAAATTTGCTTAAAAAAATGTAGGCGCCACGCATAATCAAATGTACAGTCAAACAAAAAAAAAACAAGAATATGTATACGCCGTTATGACATGCATGCATATCAGCGCATAAAACAAAAGAAACAATAAAAACATGCGAAATAGACACCTTCCTAAATTTCATAAAAAAAACCACAATCCAAAACAAAAAAACGTGTACAAGAAACTTCTTAGTAGAAACAAATATATATACTTGCGCACATATACATATTTATAAATACGTTTGCCAAATATCATAGAGCAAAATCATAGGAAAGTACACACACAACCTAACAGAAGAAACAAAAAAATTTACATTTCCAAATGCATTTTTTCGATCACTGCAGAAGAAAGAAATACAAAAAAAAATCAGCAATATTACATCCATAACTTCATGAGAAAGAGCAACAATGCAACATATTCACATTTCGATTTGCGTTCAAAGGAAAAAATTTTCATGCCTCTTGATCTTTGAAGTTCTAATAAACCACTTCTACGCACCAAATGTAAAAAGCAAAAACAAGCAACCCAACAAGAGACTATGAATGAGAGCGCAAAATAAATGCAGGCCACTTACAAACTAAAATCCAACCATAGTTTCGATTCGTTTGTAATCGTCCAGAAGTTTCGATGCTTTTCTTCTCTAGATTATTTTTGCAAATTACACGCAATTCGTAGTAATGCTGTTCACATTATTCGAATTTTTTTTAAAAACCGGAGTTCTTCGATTATTCGAATATTCGTATTTCAACGAAGTCTTCGAAGTTTTTCACTGCAATTAAACTTCGAAGACTTCGAGAACAAAAATTTACAAAAAATTCGAATTTTTTTCCAACTTCGAAGACTTCGTTTACTATTCGAATATTCGAATTCCTCGAATACTTCGTAAATTCGAATACGAACAGCACTAACTCGTAGTGGGTTTTTTCAATTAAAATTATACCTGTAATTTAGAAATTCAACTACAAATTATAATTATACTGCAATTCATAATTCATAATTGAGGTGTTCAATTAAATTACACTTGTAATTTGGAAACTCAATTATCAATTATAATTATTCTGTAATTGTAATTTAATTTGTAATTTAATTGGATTTGCACAGCTCTACCCTGCGCTAATACAAATACGAAATAGACTCCTGGGAATATAAATTCTATATAACTTCAGACTCTAAACCTAGAAAGAGTCACAAAAGATAGCAATAATAATAATAATGTAACTAATGTAAACTAATTAGTTTACATTATAATAATAATAATGCAGCTAAAGAAACACCCGATATATGTTTTTTTTTACGAATTAATATTTGTGTTTTTATAATAAATAAATATAAATGTTAGAACTCATTAAAAGCTTATATAATTTATAATCAAACAATCTATAGAGAGGTTTTTTGAACAGCGGTGGACTGCAACAACAAAATTTTTCATTATATTTAATTAATTGAATTTTTGGCCATACAGCTGTTTGAAGTGTTACCGAGTACAGCAAATTGCGTGCTAAAACTTATATAGTTTAGAATATTCGATTTTAAAATTAGAAAAGAAGACATGAGGGTACTTTCGTATTACTGACATCAGACAAAAGAAAAATTATTCAGATTTGTGACAATTAAGAATGCAAATAAAAAAAAATTAATTAATAGAAGTTTACACAATATCGTCCTGAAATTTTTAAGTTTTATGTAGAATTTTATTACTAATCGAAATCAAAAATATTATATAAGAATATATGTAATATATTCTTTGAAAATTCATTCAATAGAAATGTAGTATGCATGTACATGATGTGTTTTGCGAGAGAAAAAAAAATATTAAAATATTTAAAAAAATAACGGTTTCCTGAAGATTTTTATTTTGTAGTAAAATTTAAAACTGAATCTAAATAAAATATAAAAAATGAAAATTTAAAAACTACTTTTGAGAAAAATTTTTTTTTGAAATTTAACGGTTAATATTAGTACTTAAATATTAACAATTTAAATTCTTTAAACAATTTCATAAAAGCTGAATTAATTATCTTTAAAACGCTGTGAATTTCAAGTTTCTACCTTTTATAGAACTTGAGATATAGCCATTTAAAAATGTGTCTACTATGCCAATTCTCAAAACCCCATGGGTCCATATCTCCTAGGAAAAAATCACAAAATTTTTTCCCGAGATACAGGTCTTCTCATTTTATGAAAGGAACTCATAAAAAAAATTTCAGCCAAATCGGAGATCATGAGGTCATTTTTTTGCCAAAATCCGTCCGGTTTGTAAAAGAATGACCCATATGCTGTGATTCACGAATAATTTGTTATTTTTGTTACTCTACTTAGCAATGTGTACGAATTCTTGTAAAGCTGATTCATTAGCACCGGCATTCGGGAACAAATTTACTTATAAATCATTTCTGTAGCGAATGAGAATGCGTATAAATAGTAAGTGAGCAAAACAATATACGCATTTAGATTCGGTTTTTTACGAGTGCATTCTGAATGTTAAAATTATGACTCGTTGCAGTTCTCTGGTACACATGTATTTGCAACCTCGGGCATAAACTTACTATAAAAAAAAACTTTGAAGATATTTAACTCTTGTAGGATAAGGCATTTTTTCGATATCCTTGACCTTGTGCGGACAAGTGTGCAGCCCATTTTTGTC